CCATCCACACTACATTCTCTGACAGCTCCCCTCCACCATTCACACTACAATCACTGACAGCTCTCCTCCTCCATCCACACTACATTCTCTGACAGCTCGCCTCCACCATCTACACTACATTCTCTGACATCTCTCCTCCACCATCCACACTACATTCTCTGACAGCTCGCCTCCACCATCTACACTACATTCTCTGACATCTCTCCTCCACCATCCACACTACATTCTCTGACAGCTCGCCTCCACCATCTACACTACATTCTCTGACATCTCTCCTCCACCATCCACACTACATTCTCTGACAGCTCGCCTCCACCATCTACACTACATTCTCTGACATCTCTCCTCCACCATCCACACTACATTCTCTGACAGCTCGCCTCCACCATCTACACTACATTCTCTGACATCTCTCCTCCACCATCCACACTACATTCTCTGACAGCTCGCCTCCACCATCTACACTACATTCTCTGACATCTCTCCTCCACCATCCACACTACATTCTCTGACAGCTCGCCTCCACCATCTACACTACATTCTCTGACATCTCTCCTCCACCATCCACACTACATTCTCTGACAGCTCGCCTCCACCATCTACACTACATTCTCTGACATCTCTCCTCCACCATCCACACTACATTCTCTGACAGCTCGCCTCCACCATCTACACTACATTCTCTGACATCTCTCCTCCACCATCCACACTACATTCTCTGACAGCTCGCCTCCACCATCTACACTACATTCTCTGACATCTCTCCTCCACCATCCACACTACATTCTCTGACAGCTCGCCTCCACCATCTACACTACATTCTCTGACATCTCTCCTCCACCATCCACACTACATTCTCTGACAGCTCGCCTCCACCATCTACACTACATTCTCTGACATCTCTCCTCCACCATCCACACTACATTCTCTGACAGCTCGCCTCCACCATCTACACTACATTCTCTGACATCTCTCCTCCACCATCCACACTACATTCTCTGACAGCTCGCCTCCACCATCTACACTACATTCTCTGACATCTCTCCTCCACCATCCACACTACATTCTCTGACAGCTCGCCTCCACCATCTACACTACATTCTCTGACATCTCTCCTCCACCATCCACACTACATTCTCTGACAGCTCGCCTCCACCATCTACACTACATTCTCTGACATCTCTCCTCCACCATCCACACTACATTCTCTGACAGCTCGCCTCCACCATCTACACTACATTCTCTGACATCTCTCCTCCACCATCCACACTACATTCTCTGACAGCTCGCCTCCACCATCTACACTACATTCTCTGACATCTCTCCTCCACCATCCACACTACATTCTCTGACAGCTCGCCTCCACCATCTACACTACATTCTCTGACATCTCTCCTCCACCATCCACACTACATTCTCTGACAGCTCGCCTCCACCATCTACACTACATTCTCTGACATCTCTCCTCCACCATCCACACTACATTCTCTGACAGCTCGCCTCCACCATCTACACTACATTCTCTGACATCTCTCCTCCACCATCCACACTACATTCTCTGACAGCTCGCCTCCACCATCTACACTACATTCTCTGACATCTCTCCTCCACCATCCACACTACATTCTCTGACATCTCTCCTCCACCATCCACACAACATTCTCTGACAGCTCTCCTCCACCATCCACCAGGTGGTGGCGATGGGAATATTGTATGTGGCATATGTAGTATCTCCATGTTTTCTTAGAATGTCAGCTGATACATGTGTGGAACTGAATTTTCTAAACTGTGTAAGCCAATGATGATTGTGAAATGATGGAGCTCATCACTGTAGTCATGAGGAGGATAGCAAAGGTGGTGGTAATGGGAATAACCTAGGTGGCATTTGTAGTGGATCCACGTGTCCTTAGAATATCAGCTGACACACGTGTGGAACGGAACCTTCTGGATCAGGGGTCTCAAACCTCCAGCCCTCCAGCTGTGGTGAAACTACAAATCCCACGATGCATCTCTCTCCAGGAGTCATGTCTGTGAGAATCTTGCAATGCAACATGGGATTTGTAGTTCCACCACAGCTGGAGGGCCAGAGGTTTGAGGCCCCCTGAACTCTCCGTCTCATACACTCTCTTTCAATAGATCATATTTTTAAATCCAATTCATTTCTTCCCCCCCAGGTGATGTGTCAAGAGGCGGAGTTCCAGGAAGTAAAGTGAGATGGATTCAGTGAAAAAAAAAAAAGAAAAAAGGCCACTGTGAGAAGAATGGGGAGGAAGAGAAAAATAAAGGTAGGCCAAGAATAAAAAGCCCGCAGTTATCTAGAGCATGGGGTGGGGAACCCCCGACCCTCCAGCTATGGTGAAACTACAAATCAAGCGTCTCACAGCAACAGGCATGACTCCCATGAGACAGGTGCATCATGGGAGTTGTAGTTTCACTGCAGCTGGAGGGCCGGAGGTTCCCCGCCACTGAACTAGAGGTGTCTGTAGATTGCTGTTACTAAAGAGAGATGTAGAAGAAGTTCAGCTTTTATTGTGAAGGATTTACCACACACCAAACACGACTGTTAAAATATATATATGTCAAATGAAACATTTCCCCATCCCCCATAATGGACAGTCTGCCCCCAGCATTGAGACTGACGGGGTCCATTCATTGAAGAGCTACAGCTCCGATACTTAAATGTTTGAGAGTTGTGTGGGGCGAGCAGTTCAACCTGTGAACGTTATCAACGGGAGTGTGTTTTCTGATGCGTATTTAGATTTCCTTTAAGAGCAAAACACTTCCCGCAGTCGGAACACGAGTAAGGACGCTCACCCGTGTGAGTTCTCTGATGTTTAAGGAGTTCTCCTTTCTTGACGAAAGTTTTCCCGCACTCCGAACACGAATAAGGACGCTCGCCCGTGTGACTTTTCTGGTGTGCAGTAAGCTTTCCTTTGTCGGTGAAACACTTCCCGCACTCTGTACATGAAAAGGGACGTTCCCCGGTGTGAATTCTCTGGTGTATGACAAGGTTTGCTTTTTGGGTAAAACTTTTCCCACACTCCGAGCAAGAAAAAGGACGCTCGCCGGTGTGAACTCTCTGGTGCCTGGTAAAATCTCCTTTCAGGGTGAAGGATTTCCCGCACTCTGTGCAGGAATACGGATTGTGAATTTTCTGGTGTGCGAGAAGTTCGATTTTCTCAGTGAAAGTTTCCCCGCATTCTGAGCACGTAAAAGTCACACTGGTGTGAGATCTGAGATGTATGAGGAGGTCGGATCTCGTTGTAAAGGATTTCCCACACCCCAAGCACGACATCGGACTCTCGCCTGTGTGAGAGGAAGGATTTTCCCCCGTGTGACTTTTCTGATGTGTACGGAGTTCGCTTTTCTCGGTGAAAGCTTTCCCGCACTTTGAACACGTATAGGTCGCCCTTGTGTGAGTTCTGAGATGTAGAAGAAGTTCAGATTTCATTGTGAAGGTTTTCCCGCACCCCAAACATGACATTAAATTCTCCCCCGTGTGACCTCCTTCATGGCTTATAGAAGATTCCTTCTTATTCGATGGGTCTGTTGATCTCTCCGCACCCTCAGATCTCAGATAGGTTTCTGGACTAACCGTCTGTGATTGGTCAGAAGATTCCTCAGGATTAGAGGGATCCAATGATGTCTCTGAATGGGAAGGCCTGTGATGTCTATTATGCGTAATGGGATTCACTCCTGGAGAATGGTGTGTGATGTCATTATCTTCCTCATTATCTCCAGATAATAAAAGATGTCTCTCTGAGGTGTCCATGAAATAGCGTCCATCTGTTGGAGAAGGAACTGGTAAAATCGCAGCAACAACGTAGGAATAAAAACCGATACAGTTTAATATACATCCAAGTTATGTGACAATTGGTGGGAACATGAGGAATGGAAATGGACCTTCATATGGTGTACAGTATCTCCTCCTCATTTGTTGGTCACATGACGTTATATTGAGGAATGGAGATGGACCTTCATATGGTGTACAGTATCTCCTCCTCATTTGTTGGTCACATGACGTTATATTGAGGAATGGAGATGGACCTTCATATGGTGTACAGTATCTCCTCCTCATTTGTTGGTCACATGACGTTATATTGGGGAATGGAGATGGACCTTCATATGGTGTACAGTATCTCCTCATTTGTTGGTCACATGACATTATATTGGGGAATGGAGATGGACCTTCATATGGTGTACAGTGTCTCCTCCTCATTTGTTGGTCACATGACGTTATATTGGGGAATGGAGATGGACCTTC